CCCAAAACAGTTATTTCTGCGTAACACCAAGGGCGTTTCCTTGGGTTATGCGATAAGCGCAGGTTGAGGTGAGGAAGTGCTAAATCCAACCCGAAATACCGCCTTGCCCTCACATTCTTCCAAATTGGAAGGTCGCTTACAATAACTACGTGGAGGAAATGAAAATCACCAAATGGGCCTACTTTTACGACAGTTCTGGACACGTCCCAGTCATATCAAGCACACACACACACACACACACATTCCAGGCACAATTTCTGGTACATGTGTACATGCTCTTTCCCTCAGCATTACAGCAAGCGAGCCAGCAGGCAGGAAAGCAACCAGGCGGGCAAACAGGCAAATAAACAAGCAAATAAATAAGTAAATGGGAATCGTGTCCGTTGCCACCGTCTGACAGTTCTGCTTTAAAAGTTCCCTCCCAAAATAGCCATCCAATGACTCGTTGACCTTTCCCCCTTAATTTAACCCAAAAGGTCACTTTTTAAAATGACTAATTTTAAGTTCCTTTTTTATTTAAAAGTGTCTTGCCAATAGATTGTGGAAAGGTTATTCCTCTGCCAAATTTCCAACTCTAAATGCGCATCTTTTGAGCTTGCGAAGTTTTAAGTAGACATTTCAGTAGCTACATGCCTAACACAAAAGAAGGCATCACAAAAGCGGTTACAAATGGATTTGAAAGGGTTGCCTTATAGAGGAAAAAAATCTGACCGTCAGTTTGCAAATGGGAGACTTGTGCAGACTAGTTAGGAAAGACCACCATTCAGCTCAATAATAGGGCATTACGTAAAAAAAAACGTGGATTCGACAAAAGAACGAGAAAATATTCCAGTTTTTATTGAATATTACAATGTCTGGGGAGGATTTATTCAAACCTACGGCTTCTACAGTACTTTTCTGCAATTCTGGTGTGTCATTGTACCGCAGTAACATTGGAGGCGGGAGAGAAGGCGACGGAGAGGAAACGAATTACGCAAGCCACAGGCGTTCATTTTTTTTAAACCTCTACAGCCATGATTAGTGGCCCAAAAAGTCACGACTAGAGGTCTTTTCTCGCAGGGGAAAGGAAATGACTTGAACCCTTTTTCTGTTTGAATTCTCTACTCTCTAGCGCTGCACATCCCTAAGAGGCGATTAAGGTTACTGCAAAAGGCGACTGTCACCTGACACTGTGGAGGCGGGAAAGGCGAATGTCAAACAGCTCTTAAGTAAAATCCCCACCATAAAGCATCAGACATGCGTTAGTGGTGGCTTTGACCCCGAAATCTTCTCCCAATTTCTCATTATCATAAATAACTCATTTGAGTAGGAGGAGGAGCTACTTCGTCTTGTCTCAAACTGACGACCAAACAGTCAGGCGACTCCCTCCATTTAATGCCTTTAATTAACGTGTTTTTTTAATAAAGATTAATTTTTTAAAAATACCTTAAACATTTGAAGGGATAGCATTGTCGGTGGGATTTTGGTTGCGCATCTCAAAGAGTCCACCTTCTGCCTTACCACGGTCAAAGTAGCAGCGTGTCTGGGAAATTCCACATTTCATCCTTCAAAGCATGCTTAAAATGTTAGTTGAGTCCTTTCAGAGTAAATAACGGTTTACGAAATTCACCAATGCGTTTGATTTTTGTAATCACCTTTGCTAAGAAGGGTGTTGGTTGGTTGTATGACCCACGAGAGGATAACGCTAGACTCGTCGTTTGAGGACCAAAATATCAAAACCCACGAGGGAGGAAGGTGGCAGGAGGCATTGCTTATTCACTCCGCTTTGCTTCTGCCTGTGTCAGCAGTCTCGCCTGAAAACCAGCTCAGATGGACGTCTTGAAGACAAGGGGCGCCACCTTACAGAGGGAGAGTTGACGATGCCACTTTCCTTTTCCCTAGAAATGGCCAAAGCACTTTGTGAGATTTCTAATTGCATTCCTTCTCATATCTCAATTGCATGCTCACTTGTCGACATTATTTTAAGGCAAAAGCGGGGAAGAGGGAAGGATTGGAAAAGCGTGGTTTCCTCATCAACCTCCTCCCACCTGTAGCCGGCGAGTGTCTTTACTTTGAGGAGTTGATGTGCCATCTCCAAAGGCCTTTAAGTACATCTTAAATGTGGGACAAATATTCGATGATTTCTCTTTAATGTTTTTTTTTTACAAATTAATTAAAACTTTCAAAAGCGACTCACCACTCATCCCCCCCCCCACCTCCCCTCACCCCACCACACTGAGGTGGATTTTCGCTAGAATGCTTACCGTCCCGGTCCCATGAGTGGGCCAGGGTGGACGACAGAGTTCCTCAGGACAAAGGAATGTTACAAGATGGTGACTTTCAAAGGATGAAATAAATAAGAAAACAACTGGGCCATTATTGCCCACTTCTGGCTTCAATTAGCAACACAAAAGAATTAGTAACTTTTTGAAAAAAACAAAAGCTTATTTACAGTTATGCAGAGGCTGCAGCAAATAAAAAGGCTCACGAGCTCTATTGTAGGGCTTAAGGCAAAAGCACAATCTTCCTTTTTATTTTGAAAAAAAATTGTCAAGTTGGACTAATTGGCATCCTAAAAAAGGTGACAGACAGCAGGCGAAATAAGACTCCCCGTAACACTGTTATTGTTATTATTATTTATTAAATCTAACAAGGTTAGGGACTTGAAGTTAACACCTTCCATTCCTTGCAAATCAAAGGGCTTATTTTAATGAACAAATATTTGGTGCAATGACTACATTTTTACTTTTTAAAATTCACTTCCTGTTGAATTGGTAGCAGTTTGTACAAAGTGCATGAAGCCTAAAAGGTGGAGGAGAAGGTGGACAGGAGGAAGAGACACTTTCAGGTTGAGCTTGAAAAGATAACTTTGTGGGGAACTTCTTCTCACTTCCCATTTATTGGGTCGTTTGGGGGAGCCCCTTCACGCATTGGTGGAGTTGTGGGTCTCCTGCATTTTAACATGTCTTTTTGACCTTTAAACGTTGAGAGAGAGAGAGAGAAAATAAGAAGGACGTGACACAGTCTTTACTGCATAAACTATTTCATGTTGCAGTTGTCCTCCTTGATTCGCGAGAAAGTGGATGGGAGTGTTGGACCAAAAATACGGCCTCGGACATTGGCGTGAGTGTATTTTCTTTTATTCATTCCTCTCTCTCTCTCTCTTTCTTTCTCTCCCTTTCTCTTCCCTGTTCCTCCTCTTTTGATAAGATGGCTTTACAGGTGTGGACAGGTAAGAACCCACCGATCAGCCACTCTTGACTCCAATCAAGATGACAAGTGCACATTTCGAATGGCCTGACCATCATAGGGGAGTGAAAAGGGAGAGAAATGGTCATGACAAACGAGTTAAAGTTGTAGATTGCTTTTATCGAACTCTTACAAGCCATCCAGGCTTGTTAGCAAAGAACGCGCCAAGCGATTATGAAGGAAAAAACGACTCCTCCCAGCTACCACGTCTCCTACGACTGACGTAAACAATAATCCACTAGGTGACTCCTTTTTCTTATTCCTTTACAGGTGTAGGATAGTGCAAACGTTCTTGTTTTCCCACTTTGAAGAAGGTGGAGGCGCAGTCTTAAAAGCCTTGCTATGCTAAGTTCTTAAAGGTGACTGTTAGGCAAACGACAGGGAATTTAAATGAGAAATTATATGTGATACGAGACTGTGATGCCATGAGAGTGCCTTAAAGCTTACTGCAGTGTCAGGCAAAATGGGAGGGGCTCCCTTTTACCACCTCTTACACTAAATTTCCACCGCCGTGCCTTCATAAAGAGTGAGCAGCTGTCTGGAAGCTCACTCGACCACTCCTGGAAGTGCTGTGCTGTGGTAGCCATCGAACAACGTAGGGTGGGAAGTCTTGGAAAGGTTGATACAACTCGTTCGAGAGCCGTCTTGGACCCTTAATCAAAAGGGCCTTCGTTGACCGTCAGGTGGACTTACGATCATGCCTGCATGCCTAAGCGTGGGCGTCCACGTCCATCACAGACTGACACTGTCACCCACCATTTTGGTGGTTGCAGTGACCTAAACGTCCAATGCACAAAAGTAAGGGTCATTTCTTAGTGTTTCTTAGGGGTGGTCTGACCACGATGTAGAAGACGAAGTATGGGAAAACTAAAAGTACCACTTTGTCTGTGGGGTCAAGCCATTGAAAACATCAAACTTTATAACAATTTTTGTGGCTCTTACTTGAAGAATTTGAGGTGAGACTGAAAGCACTGCCAAGATGAGTGATTGAGAGCAGGACGTAGGGACAGTAACTAATACACTGGAAAGTAGGGAGGGGAACATCACAGATGCTGATAGGTTGACTTTACAAAATCATTCTTTGTGTTTTGCTTGTTTACGTCGAATCACTCCCTCCAAACCACTATTTCTCTTACTTAATTCAAAATCCCTTTTCCATTGACTTGGCAGTCCTGAAAACTTGGCATGTAATCCAACACTTATTTGTCTTCCTGTCATTTTTTCTGGCATAATGAAAAGTAAGTAGTTGTTTGGTGAAATAGATGTGTTTTTTCATGAAATGGGACCTGTGAGTGCCTACTATGGGCATTCACCTCCGTAAAGCCTCCACTGCAGCGTGAAGTAGGCTTAAAGCATTTGATCCTCCCTTTTATGTTGTTGTTGTTGATGCTAGTTGAGGGGGTCTGGTCTGAATGGGACCACTGAAGCGCTTTTGACCTTAAAAACGACCACTAATTGGCACGGCGATGGAAGGGGAGGGTGGAGGAAGTAGAGCGTTCAAAGCCTCAAACCAAAAGGCTCTGAACGCTTGGCAAGTGAAGTCGAAGCATTGTAAGCAGGCTTACTGTTGGCAATGAAACCTCAACCTTGGGTGAGTGGACCCAAGAGCGCGAGATCACAAGGATGAATGTCAGCTGGAAAGCAGACAAAGTGGCCAAAATTGTTGTTGTCGAACAATAATGAGGTGTTAGCGATGCTGAATGCACGCTTGACTTTAAAAACGACAGAGCAATGTGACAAGTAATGAGAGACATCAATCGGCATTTGCAAAGATGCTGAGTGAAGCAGGAGCTCTCAGTCCCCAACATGAAATCAAATGTTGCGAACATTTCAACGACGGTGGTGGGTTGCATCGTCTGTCTATCCTCGGACGCATACAAGTCAGAATTGCGGACCTCGTTTGAAAAGCCCAATGAGTAAAGTGGAGACATCTAATTAAGGTCTGGACTGGAGGGGATGTGTGGTTGGAACGAGAGGCAGGAAGTCCCATATAATAACCAGCTAACCCAACTCTTTCTCTTCACTTCAGTGGCGTCAACAAAGTCGGCCGGGTGCAGGCTACAGCGTTTACGGTCTGTGTGAAAGCAGTTCCACCGCAGAGAGGGATGAATTTTGGCTCTTCGGTCCGTTAATTCCACTGGGTGAAGCTCTCAGTGTTCACGTGCAAGTGAACTTCATGCTGCGTAGTTGTGCTGATCGTGAAATTGTTGATGGTCGAGGAGGCGCCTGTCGTGAGAATTTCGACGTCTTTTTGCAACAGGAGGCTCTACGAAGTGACATGGATGTGGCCGATATACCACAAACAGAGGTAAATTTTTTTTTTTCGCAATTTATCACGTCCAAAATTCTTTTCCACCTCAAATTATTTTTGTGATCCGATGTGCATCCAGAGGAATGACCTAAAATTCGACTACAGGTGTTACACAATTCGGAAGTGAAATTTCCCTCCCCTCAACTTCCTTCACCTCACAAAGTTAAAATCCAGCAATGAATCACGCCCATCCTGTTGCCTGTTTTTGAAGACTACGCATAAACAGTTGATAGTTTATCCGCCAATATGACACATGATTACTGGGAAAGGAAATTGTCACTTCATCAAAAAAGATGGACGACATTAAAGGCACGCAGAGTAGGTGCAGCCACCACTTGTCCCTGTGAGATCAGGCGACTTTTTGTGAGAGCCCTACTTGTTGACTTTTGTTTCGGATGGAGACAGGACAAAGGTAAAGGAGGTGTCTTCAGATGTGGGTGAGTTGTCCAGATTTGAATTACAACAGGTCGTCTTCATCAATCGCGACAACATGCTCGCCAATTTGAACTGTCAAAGGAGACGTCGAGTGGCATCGTTTGTCGTAGAGTTTGGGGGTGAAGATAAATGATCTCGATTAAATTGCTTTACCTTCTAACGTCCACAATTTTCCACTTAAGCAGCCTCCTTTGAGAGACTCTCCCTTACTGATTGGAAAAAAGAAGTCTTTCCGGGAGTATAAGACAGGGTTCACCTCGGTCCCGGTCATCGCTTCCACCTTACTTTATGCAGTAGTGAGCTCAGACTGCTTTGTGAGAGTTCTTCACTTGCCATTGTTTATCCACTCTAAGTAGGCGATGGTCCTTCAGACTCAATGTGAGGACATTGCACAGTCTTTTTGGAATGTGATTCATCTGGACCGTACCTTTAGGAGGTCTCGTTGCTCCCCTCAAGCTGTAACCTCCAGCAAAAGGCTCTCATTGAATGGTACATCCATTTAAATCAAGCTGAGCTTTTCGAGGAGCTCTCAGGAGCCCCCTAAGTAGGGATGCAATGCGGTGAACCATCGCTCAGCATCATTTTATCATCTCCATAAAGCCTCAGCAAAGCATTAGAGAAGCAAACAGTTCTATCCCTAAATGCATGATATGTAAGTGAAGTTCATCTAGGCAACACTTGTCACCACTTTCTAGTGTCAAATGATTGCAGGCGTTGCACAGACCCTTGCATTCATGAAAAGGCGAACGACACTGACGAAGAGGTTCCTTTACGATTGCGTGAGGCTCGCTCCTCCCAGTCCCCATTAGGCACTTGAAAGGCGACACCGAATTTGTTTCGTTTCGTGGCGCATACCGGCTGGAGTTATCACTAAGACGATCATCCACCCCGCGCTTTAACAAGAGGTTTGTAAAACAACACAAAGGGAGGTTTTGGAGGTCACAGAGAAACGTCACGTCGATGTACTGGTGCATATGTCATGGAGGGATTTAAACAGAGCGCTTGACAACACCATTAGGCAGGCGAAGCAAAAAACAAATGACAAGTACTTTTCTTAAACTCCGAATATTTTAATCTGTCTAATGGTTCCTTCCAGCGAAGTGAATGCCAGTGTATTGACAAGAGTCATGCAGGTCATCCTTGCCAAAGAAATGGTATTTGCCTGTCTGCAGTTGCTAAGGTTTTAAAATTGACGAGGACAACTGTAAGCACGGATCACTCCTTCACTCTGCTTCATCGTGCCAATGGAATACGCATTCTATGAAGCACATTCAGGAAGCTCTAGGGTAAGGCAAAAGAGCAATCCAATTGAGAGGGTACAGTTGACAATCAAAGACACCAAACAAGTCAATCACGTCTGCTTTTCTTCTTTCCAAACCATCTGAAGAGAACTTTTAAGGAGTAAAGACTGTGGAGGGAGCCGTACGTACGGCAGTGCAAGGGACTTAAATTGCCCTGAAATTTAGCACTTCGGCACCCAAATTGTGCCCTGAGATGTAAGCATTTTGGAGATCTTGGAAGCGAGTCGGTCCCGTGATTTGACTATGCATTTTAAGCAGCTCACTCTCCAAGTTTGTCCTATGGCTTAAGGAAATGGCAAATTTTGAAGTGAATCAGCAAAGCTCCACCTCTTACCTAAAAGCCACCAAAATGTTGACACCTTTGGCTTAACTTGAGATACAAAATGAGACGATTGGAGTAAATAGCCTCTAATTTCTCGCCGTTCATACCTCTTTCTGATGAAAGAAATTAGGCAGATTCTTCGCTTTTTGGCCGACCACGAGAAGAGCACATTTATTCGGGCAAGGCGGTGGCCGTGTCATCGTGATGGAAGATAAATCTCGTCCAATGGTGGTGAGGCAGGTGATTGCACAAATTTACTTCTCCTCTGGAAATTCTGCGTCCTAGCCTTACTGACTAATGCCGATTCGAAGCACAGACGTGGAGGAGAGCAGGTGATGGATGGTCTGAACGATTTATCTACAAGAGATATTGCATCTGTCGGCTGGGAGAAAAAAAAAATTTTTTTTTCTGGAAATGGTTTTAGGTTAAAGGCATAAAAGTACATTTTCTATCGTTTATCCACCATGACAGCTTCCACCATCGACATGTGCGTGTGACAGTTGGGCTTTCTCATTCACACCAGGGAACACATGTGTGTGACATGCGTTTTCCGACTGCAAATAGCGCGTTCTGTCTGCTTACTAAAATAATGTCCTCTTCCTTCTGCATCTCCTCTAAAATGGCCTCCGCATAACCTTCCTTCTACTTTTCCCTTTTTGTTTTTTTCTTCAGTCATTTAAAAAACTGGCGACAATTTCCTCGGATCGGAAGTGGAGCTCCACGTATCCCTCAGAGGACACTGCGGTAACAAGTTGGTTAATTCGCTTTCGACCCCAGACCGAGCGTAAGGCAGCAACGATTGCAACAAAGGTGGCAACACATTCCTCCAATGGGTGGATGCGTCTTGCCATTCGTGATCAAGGCGCCTGTCTAATGCTCGACCGCATTCGAATCTACTACCTCACTTGTCCAGCTTGGCAGGTAGACAATGCGAGGCACTCTACTTTGACATTTTATTTGACCAGCTTTTTTGGGTTGTGTCCAAGTCCACTGGGTCTGCAGACGATTTGGAAATGCACGTAGTTAACTTGTGAATTATAACTTAGTTGCCGGTACAGATAAACCCTCCCAGGGGGATCAAACTCGGCTTCTTTGTCAGAATTGAATCTCCGTGCTTTCAATGGGTCAACTTTCCCTGTAATTTAAGTGAAAAGTTGGACAATCTTTTGAAAAATTACCCACCTTCTCACCACTACTGTTCCGTCTCATAGCCGAGTTAGTGACTAGTAGATATGCAGTTGATGCTAGTCCGAGAGATCAGTGAGCCGTTCAGGATTGCTTACTGCTTCCGATTGACACCTTTCATGGGAGTATTTGTGCGTTCTTCCTGAGGGGATTAGCGCCTGCACCTCTGGTAACAGGCCTTCAGCCCTCACTAGCCACTGCGGTAGGCGGAGAGTTCGAGGCGAACCGAATTGACTTCCACACAAGGCATGGCGGCTGCTTCGTGGGTTGGACTTGACAATTTTTACTGGCTTCACCGTCATCCCCTTTTAACACCGACATTAACTCGATTTTCCAGCTAATAGCACTTCCTTCGTAGGATTGCCTGCTTTGCGTGAGGGAATCACTCAAATCTTAATGCTTCCTCTCTTTTACTGCCTTCTAAATAATTTGTTTTTTCCTGATTAAAAATTCAAGTTCTCCAACCAGAAATATCCACCCAAGGATTGTCTGATTAAACTTTAATACGCTTGCAAATTTCATGGACTGGAACCACCGCCTTTGATCAGCACCTCATAATCTCCTTCAAGTGCCCTTCTCAATTGCTGAAGGGAGAAATTAAACATTCTGCAGACACTCCATTGCATTGCCTCGTTTTATTTTTTTTTCTACTCAAGTCAAACTTCGTTTGTGTTTAAATTCTTGTCTTTTTCCGGTCTCGCAGTCTCAACTTCAATCCAACGGGTCATTTTACTCGGTTAGTGTGGTGGCGATGGTTCATTTATGGCACACCAAACAACCCCACTTAATGGACTGGTAGATTTCGAAAGATCTACACATCCGAAACTAATTAATTCTCCTATTTTTGGATAAAACACACATCAGCCTTGCGTATCCGTCCACGCATTTCAGTAGTATATCCTCACCCATGAGGACTAAAGTAAAATGCTAACTTTGATGCGTTGGAATTAAAGATTTTGAGCGCTTAGAAGAAGCCATTTCCTGCTACGACCTCGGCGATTATTAACGAATTGCCAGAGTAGTTGCACTGTTGTGCTTTGCTATTCGTAGAGGCCTTAAATCTTGACAGGTATAAATTGAAGTTGTTCACAAAACTAATCAGTTCTCCCTCTTTCGCAGAAAACACACATCGTCCTTGTGTATGCCCTCGCACATTTCAGTAGTATATTTCCATGCACTAAAGAAGAGGCGAACCAGGGAGCAGTGGAGACTTCACCTCACCGCGATTAAGTAGTTCTGATGAAGCTCTCTTCTGCGTTGATTAAGGCAGGCTTTTCTGTCAAAGCAGGAGGTCACTTTGGGCTGTTCTAGTTGAGAGTTGCATTGCAAAACTTTGACAGCCACAGAATTTCCACAGTTGGACGCGTTATAGCGATAAATACAAAAACGGTTACACAGAAGTGAGTTGCTTCAGAAATCGTCTCCTCCTGCTTGTCACTCAAAGAAGTAGAAAAGTCTAGCCGAATGGAGAGCTTGAGGAAATTATTTCATTGCTGCTGACTTTGAACCCAATTCCCGTTGATGCTTGTCTTCCATGCAGCTTTAACAAAGCAGTTAGTCTAAACGGTCTTTTCCTTAATTTGGAAGAGTGAAGACTTCCTTCCGACTTCCTCCAACGTAACTACTTGTAAAAGCAGGTGCATTAGTCCACGCTGTTTTGGTGCTTACAGGTACACATTGTTCGCTGCTCCTTTTATGATGGAGTAAAAAAATAGGAAGATTAATTGAAAAATCTTAAGAAGGAAGGAGAAGTAAGGTTGCGGCTTAATAATCCAATTGCAAGGGCTGGACTAGTCAATACCGGCACCTCTTTTGAACTTGCTTCGAAGGCCCATAGGAAAGTGAACCATGAATTGGCTTCAAGCCTTCTCCCATCGGCCTCTCGATCAAGCCTTTTACGTTGGCCTTAAGTGTTGGCGATTTAAATCGCTCTTCCTCCTCCTCCTCCTCCTCCTCCTTCTCCTCCTCCTCCTCCTCCTCC